CCGTATTCCCAACAATCCATGCATCAACAATACTTAATGACTCCACTGTGTCATCTGAATTTCTGCCAAAATTGACTTTTATAAGATGATTCGGAAACTTAATCCTATGAAAAGTTCTATTTCAAGTGAACTTATGACCGGTCATCGTCTATGAACCACTAAACAGTGATGAAAATTGATACCCCAAAAATGAAATCAAAGGAGCAGCTTTTTACGTTTATAACCATATCTCTAGCATTGTTCGTATCCAGCATGCTTTTTTTTGGTCCGTACTTGCAACCTCTAACATCTTTTTTCAAGTCCACGCTCAAAGTGTACGATGACAAAACACTTTTTTTCTACATCATGGCACTCGGAAACCTCATGATGTTAGTTTCGGTGTTTATCATCAGTCGAGTTTCAAAAGTCTTAGAAGTTAAAAATTTGCAGCGCACGATACACAAACCAGCACTGAATTTGCCGCTTCTATTCTTCACATTTTCAAACGTGCTATGTGCCTACATATCTGAGGTTGGCGAGGAGGTAATGTTAAACATGGTGGTATGCTTAGCGGCTAAGTACACACTTTATTTCTATTTCACCATCATATCATCCATTCTTACGGTATATGTTGAAAGTTTGATATTTTTCTTTAACCTGCTCCTTCTGGTTACCACGTTCTTACAAGGATATGAGAAGTTCGGTACTGTATGGCAACATGTTTTCAAGACTTTTTGAGAACCAGGCACTCTATTAAAGATGTTTTTTTCGCTTGATGCGTATTTTTAGCTACATTTACTTATTTGATACTTGGAGTAGGATATACCTTTTTATTAGTAGACCAGTTGCGCTATTTCTATTTATGAAGCGGAACAAAGTTTGACCTTCTATTAAATTACATTTCCTTCTTTTCATATGCCCAATTATGTCTTTTCACTTGTTTTGCATTTTTGTCAACGGTTAATGAATCGAATTCACGCTTGGTGATCGTACCATTTTCGTGTAGTTCACAAAGAATAGCTGAGAGCGTTTCTGATCAAATTAATTTAACAGCAACTTTTGACCCTTTATTTCGTGCAAAAGCGAGAAGATTGTTCTCCTGAGCTGACCAACCAGTTTTCGAGCTGTTTTTTTATTCATATCAATATAATTGATGGTGATATAATACATGATATGGTTACATCAGCGGACGTGTTTATCAAAAAAATTCTCAAAAGTTTATAACACACAATTGTGGTACCGCCTAAATTTACAATCCTGTAGCCATAAAAAACATGCTGAACGTATTTTTTATTGAATAGGTTGAACACGGAATTAAAATCATTGGCTAACCCTGTTTTAGTTATGCTGCACCATATCTAAGCTTATATGGGAAGAAACAGTCAGAACCGATAATATTGGATATAAACATGATCTAGGCTGTTGTTTGGGAAGACTACGATTAACAAACTAGTAAAATTCCTTTTGCAGCCCAGAATACATATTTTTTTGAACGAAGAAAATATACTCACCTAAGCCATGTGTACGTAGATAAAAACCCTCGGTAGGAAATGAAATAAGATCATAAGGCCATTTTATGGGGTAAGGCAACGACGTGGCACATCTAATGAGTGGGAGAGAACTAATATGGAAAAATGGGCAATAATAATGCTACGAATGAGAAACGGCTTTAACACAACAGAAAATTTTTTTTCACTAAAAATATGTTTATTCATCTCCACACACAACTAGTCTTTATTTTTTTGTTACGTTTTATGAGATGTCTCGAAACTTGCCTGTGTCTTTTTTCTAGAAATCAATAGCATTTACTGTTCTAGACTTCAATTAAATCATTATTTCCGAACTAACAAGGTAAAACATTTCATCTTACACAAATAATATATTGGATATTAAATTATTAGATAGTTGCAACGTTCTTCAAGCATTTTCTTCTCGTTTTCCGTGGGTCTCCAAATTTCATTGCTCAGAGTTGGAG